TAGGTCGTAGAAAAAAACATTTACAACCTCTGAGATAATCAAAATAGAAGTCTCAAAATTGTAGAAGTTAAAGTATTACACGAGAAAAATGAAGAACAAAACAGATTTAAAAATCATACTTAATGATTCCCGTGCAGTTCTGTAGCCTTTGAAAAATGAAAACTATATTTATCGAATAAAATGTATCATTTTATGGAGAATTACACAGTGCATATTTTGGAAAAAAAGAATATGCCGTGAGCGGTGATAATCAATGAAGATATTGAAAAACAACAGAGACACCATTTATTCTGTCGCACCCATTACAACTTCATGCCAGTAGACTGTTGTATATGTTGATCGTTTCTCCATTTCTTTCTGTCTCACTCATTCCTAGAATATTTTCTATTGCGATATATATTCGATGGATGATTTCAATGTCAAACTGTTCAAGTAAGTCATTTTCTGTCGATATTGAAAATAGAAAACAATATCTGACTCTCTCATCTCATAGCAACATTGATTATTTGAGTCAAGGCATCGGTTTTGATTTATCAGTCGTGCTCTTAGTATTATTTTCCACTATTGGTAGTGCTTTAGTCGCCTTAATCATCAATTGAAAGTTGGCAATTGTTATACTGTGCATTGTGCCATTGACAATTGTCGGCTCATATGCTTTTTCAAATATAAACACAATTACTGATCATTAAGTTAGCTTATACTAATTCTAAAAGGTCACTGCCAAAGAATCAAGAAATGAATTGGATACGTGCTCAAAAGTGGGAGACGTCGTTCAGGAAGTGTTCAGTTCTCTTCGTACTGTGCTTTCACTCAATGATAAAAAATTTGAAGAGAAATGGCCGGCAATATATATAATTATAAGCGAATTTTGTAAGCCATGCGCCATGGCTATGTTTGAATTTTATTGTGCATATAGATACAAAAGCAAATTACAGGTAACTCTTTGGAGCAGTGTACGCAAGGATGCCGCGTTTGGTTTCTTCGTTGTATGGATCTCTCTTATAGGATAAATCATTTATTCAGTTGGTTTCGCCTCCGACTTATCTCTCATGCATCACACAGGACATGACATACTACTCTATTTCAGTGATGTTCTTGTGGTAAATCATTTAGTTCATAATTCAGACTTCCAAAACCAATAGGTTCTCGATGTTTGAGTAGATAGTGATTACTTTAGCAAAAAATGCCAGTTTTCTTGCCTTTACTAGCCCTTTCTTTCAATCATTAGGAGAAACTCGAGGTGTTTTAGCGCCCATATTTCAATTGATTGATTGATGAGGTAAATTTTTGTTTAATGTACGATCTAATCGCTTCTTGAATACATCATATAGGACGAGAAGACAAGTATGGATGAAACACAAATATCGGAAGACTCAGTTGCTTGTGAAGAAGCTATAAACTTGAATAACGATATTCAAATTGATAATATCAACTTTGCTTATCCAACTCGATATGATGTCTTAGCTCTACGAAATCTGACACTGACGGCTCGTGCAGGTGAGATAACAGCTTTAGTCAGCTCAAGTGGCTCTGTTAAGTATTTTACAAAGAGAAAACAAACTATAGATTGATAGTCCGTTCTTTATTGAGCGAACAGGCAAAAGCACATGAATTTCACTTCTACTTCATTTTTATGAACATTTGTCGGGTCGCCTTACAATTCATGATCGATTGATTATCAATTGCAACTTGAAACAATTACGATAGAAGATTGGTATGGTCAGTCAAGAACCTGTATGTCTGTCTGATTGTATTCTAACTTTTGCATTTGATATTGTTCTACGTAGGTTCTCTTTGCCACAAGTATTTATGAAAATATTCCCATTGGTAAAGAAAATCCAACAAGGATTGAGATCGAAGAAGCAGCACGTCAAGCCAATGCACACAATTTCATTATGCAATTACTCAATGTTTGCATTGAATGCTCTTTTCTACTGACATGTACTGTCTTTTTTGTTTTCGTAGAAATATGATACAGTCGTTGGTGAACGTGGTATTCAATTAAATGACGGTGAAAAGAAACGTGTGGCTTTGGCTCGTGCTCTTGTCAAACAACCAGCTTTGCTTTTTGTTGGATGAAGTAACAAGTGCTCTTGATGATGCCAATGAAAAGATTGTTCAAGAAGCACTCGATCGAGTTTGTAAAGGTTTGTATGTCTTTTTTTGTGTTAATTATATCATCTATAGTTGTGTATAGGTCGAACGACTATTGTGGTCGCTCATCGTTTGACGATAATTCGCAATGCACATCGAATTTATGTCTTGCATAATGGGCATGTCATTGAACAAGGTACACACGAGACACTGATGTCAAAAGAAGGAAGTCAATATCGCAAGATGATGAAAGCTCAACAGAGAGAAAAAATGGAAAATGATGTCGATGAAATTTTGGGCCTACCACAAACAGTAGAAGATGATCAAAAACAAATACGTACGTAAATACTTTTAACAAAAGAATAGTTTGAAAGCGATCATGTTTTCCAATTATTGGAACACGCTCGACATCGTAGCTATAGTGAATCTGACGATGGAGACAAAGTAAAGGATATGAATGTATTTGTGTCGAAATAGTTTTTGCATGTACTGAGTACTTTCAATAGATGTGATCGACTACAAATCGTCGACCTGTTTTCTTGCTGCTGCTGTTTATGAACAATACAGAATGGATCATCATTCTGATTGGTTGCACAGCCTGCCTCATCTGTGGAGCCGGTGAATCAATCCAAGTCATTCTACGCGCAGACACAATTTTTGTAAGTCATCTTCTCGCACAGTACAATCAATATTGTCGTAATTGATTGTTCACAGGCATTCGGAGCGTATACTTATGAGGAACGACGTCATCAAGTTTTCAAATTTTCCCTTCTTGTTTTCTTGATAGGTGTTGTATTTTTTGTCATTCATTTTATACAAGTAGGAATATATCTCATAAAGCTTTTTATACTTCCTACATCCATAGTACACTGTGTTTGCTGTATCTGGCTCAAAATTAGCCGAGCATATTCGGGGTGTGGGTGTAGATGTGGATTATTCTCCTTTAATCACCAACACCCACACCCTTCTTTGCCTTGTTCATATAATATAGATCGACTACAAACACTGATGCTTGTCCCTTCTTTCTTGTTCGATTACAATCCTCGTCTGCTGTTTCATACTTGAAATATATAGCTGCTCAGTTCTGTGGAGTCTGAAAGAGACAATGATCAAGTAACAAAACTACACTATTGAGATGCGGCTATGGATCTCTAGATAAATAAGAAGAAGATTTATGCACACACCTACGCACCCACACCCTAACTGTCAATTGAGAATCGTTTACAAGAATGCATAAACAAAAAAGATTTCTAACTCGATACTAGTAAAATGATACAAGAAAAAAAAAACTGAAAAGAAGAAAAATTTGTCATGTTTCTTTTCGCTTGGTATTAGAAAAAAGACATTGTATTATAGATTATATTTAACTATACGCAATAGAGAGATTCAAATTTAAATTAAGAAGATTGAACGTCAAAATAATTTAATTTCGTTCTTGTCATAAAGCTGATGTCGTTTTATTGTGTGAAAAATGAGATGTACGGATAATTTTGAGCGTCTTTGTATATTAATATATGATTAAAAGAATTTTTTAATCTCTGTACTCCATTATCATTTAAGATTAAAAATAAAATTTTTGACCTCAGTATTAAAGAACAATAACAAGTATAGTTATAACAATGCACCGATCAAAAATTTGACAAAATTTCTGTAGAAAAGTCAATAGCATTGCATATATAAACTGAACTTTATTAGTGAAATGTAGCATATTCAAAATCAGCTTCTTCTTTATAAACATAAAAATCATGTTTTATATTACGAAAAAATTATATTTGTGAAATGAATTGCTGTTGTATGTAAAGTCACTTAATGCACTTTTATTTCCAGGTGTAGCTATACGCACATCTCTGTCCCATTCATTCATGACCAAGTGATTCGAGTTCCGATGAACGTTGCTTGTCAATAAGTTTTCTACCATCGTTCTTTCTCTCTTTTTTTTCAAAATGTCTTGAAATTCGGAAAATTTCTTTTTAATTAATCGAAATATTTCAGTCACCTTCATTGACAGAGGAAAAGTTCACACAAATTCAGCGACTGTCAATCAATAGATCTATATCATGACATATAATACATAAATTTTTGAACTTTATCGATGACGTATTTTTCACAGCCTGAAAACCGAAATAGAAAGAAAGGAAAATACTAAACATAACAAATTTATTTATTAAAACATAAACTAAAGCTACGATAATTTTCTCCTTCCATTCATCATACAATATTAAAAAAATAATAAAATAATATATCACAGGATCAAGTGTTGTCTTGTTAGTTCATAATATTTTCTATTTCAATTAATAACCAAAGAAATTATTTTTATTAATAATTGATGTATCAATAATAAAATTCTAAATTCGTTCCTTTCAACAAATGATTATCCGTTTTTTTTTAATCAACCATTGTACATACATAAATTATAAGATTAATCCATCACCTATAAGTATAAAAAAAATATTACCAAAAATTTAAAGAATATATTAACTTGCTCAAGGTTCTCAATCTTAATTTGTTCAGATGCTATTTAGTAAGACAATACCTTTTGCTATTATTTTAAATATATTTTTCATAGACCTTCTTGGCTTATTTTTAATGAAAAAATACTTGTTTTTCTGTATTTAATCGGCTTATTTCTACTAGTAAATTTCTTTTCTTTTTTTTTCTTTGTCTGACTATAGAATACTCATGCCAAACCATGTTCTATTTTTGTTATTCTAAATAAAAATAAAAATAAAAAAGTTTTTTTTGTTCTTCAAAAAAACACTATTCTTTAGTCTGATTCTAATTGAGACTATTTGTATTGTTAAGAAAAGTAAAATTAAATAAAACTTAAAAAATACAATATGAAATATATACTTACCTAATAATTCTTTTGATGCTTATTCTGTGTAAATAAAACACTTTCCATCAACAGATGTTTGCGATTTTTGTGCATTTCTGTTGCTGATTCGCCTAAGCGGTTTGTCATCTAGACTATCCGATAGAATTGAATAACCAGAAGTTCTACTCATCAGAAGACAGAGAATAAATCAAATTCATTCTTTTGCTGTCCACTGAATGTAAACAAAAACAACAAAAAGAATCCATATACACTTACTCTAAATAATATTTCCTATAAAATTCACAAATAAAAACAAAAATATTAAGAAGAGATGCATAAATCGTTTGAATCTCTGAATAATAGATATTTGTTTTTTTCTTCAACAACTTTTTATACGAACAAAATTAATTGATGATAAATAAAAAGAAAAATTTCAACTTTCGAAATTGATTTACTCAATAAAAAGAATGAACTCGGTATAATTAGTAATAATCATAAGTATATTTCATAATATCTTAATTAATATTTCTATGAATAAAATATATTATTGCAGCTTTAATATGACAAATCTATTCCGATTTCTGTGTATATTTATATATAACTAGAAAATAACGAAACTTATATTCTTATGATTCAAAAAATCAGTTATCCAAATCCCATAACTTTTTATATCTATATTCTAATTAGTAATAAGAATTCTATCTTATATGACATACTAATATTCTATACTTAATAATAATGAACCAAAATAGTAAAATGTCAATTTTCGCACATGTATTTAAGAGAAACAGGCACAAAAGAAAAAAAAACATGGTGACTTATACAACTGATGTGATACACGACAAGAAAAAACAATTGAAACAAAAACCACACAAAAAACATTAGATTTTTTTTCTTATTTATCTTGTTCTTTATAATTTCATCCTAGAGTAAAACATATTTTAACTCTAACTGATGTTATACAGCTATGTACAAAAAGAAAAATATATATGTATGTATTTTTTGTATATTAATATAGCTGTTTTCTTGTGTCTATTTAATTCTGAGGAAGGGAGTTTTTCTTTGAGTATGTTGTTGGTTTTGTTTATGAAGATGACGACAAAAGACATAAGGGTAAATGAAACAGAAGACTACAACAAAAAGATATCGAAAGAAAAATTCTTTTACACATGTTCAATATGGATGTCATTTATTTGAGTATTTCCAATTTCTCCTTAAACACATACCACACTTGTAAAATTGTATTTTATTGTCCACGACCACGGCCACGACCACCACCACGTCCGCCACGACCACCACGTGATGGATAAGGTGCCGAACGGTTACTATAACCAGTATCGCCACCTGACGAACCACCATAATTACCACTACTTCCACCGCTTCAAAACGAAAAAAATAAACATAAAACTAGGGATGGGAAATTACAGTTACCAGATGATGGAGTAATGGAAATTTCTTAGATTCGATTTTTTCATTGAAAGATTATTAGGCGAAAGTAACAATTTTTTTATAAAGTTTGACCGATAGTTTTATGGATCGAAGAAGGTGAATCTGTAATCGATTTCTCGATCGAATTACCTCTTCCCTCGGAAGCCTTTGATAAAAAATCATTAGTTTCCTACAATAGCGTTTCTTTAGCGAAAAAATCAAATCTATGAATTCTCCGTTATCCGGCTACTTTCTTTCTCTGCATAAAACGTTTAAGACTCTCTCTCTCTCTAAAGCGCTTCTGGTAAAAGTTTCAGTTCGATACGTTTAACTAGACTGAACTTTCGGCTTATTTATAGCCTTAAGAAGAATTTCTATAACTTCGACACAACTTCGCTCAGTTTTTATTCGAGTAACACCAACTGTGGTACTTAAACTATATAAGACTGTTTATTCAATTTTGACCTTTTTCTTCGAAAAAAAAAAGACCTTTCTGAGAAGAACTGAGTCTTTAAATGTAGACAACTTAATTTTATATAAACAAGAAAAGTTAATATTCATTTCAATAATATACTAGACTCACCCTCGTCCTCCACGCATTGGACCACCACCACGAGATTGTTGTTGAGGCATATTATTATAATTTCCACTACCATAACTTTGTGAGGTAATACCATATGAATTTGAATTATCAAATGGTGCTGTTGTTGATGATGTATTATTATAACCTCGACTACTGGTTGATGGTGGTTGTGGCAAATTAAACGGATCATTCATTCCACCAAAATTATTTGGATTATTGCCAAAACCTTGTTGTTGATTTTGTCCATAAGATAATGGTGGTGGTTGCATATAATTTGAAGTAGGTGCTTGATTTGGATTATTATTATATGGCATATTTGAAGTATTATTATACATATCATAACTCATCATAGATGGTTGTTGTGGAAGTGGTGGCGGTGGTGGTGGTGGCGGTTGATTTTGACCCATAGGATTAAATGATTGTGGATAGGCATTTGTTGGCGGCATTGGTGGATTAAAACCAGATGCATTTGTATTATATCCACCTTGTTGACCATATGATGATGTTGATGGTTGATTATAATTTTGATTTTGATTATTCATACGTGACATACCAGCTTGATTATCCCAAGTACCACTAGGCGCATTATAATTATCACGCATTGGTCCAAAACTATTTCGACCTGATGAAGGTGGTGGTGGTGGTGGACCAGGATTAGTTCCGGAATAATTTGAAGGATTATTACGATTAAATGATGGCATGCCAGTTCCACCGCCAGGTGAATTTGTTCCAGATTCTTCTTGCATTTTTTCTTTTGGTACAGCTTTTTTAACATCTAAATTTCGACCATTGATAATATGTGGTTTTTCTAAAACAGCTTTATCAACAGCATCATAATCATCAAATGTAACAAATGCAAAACCACGAGGTTTTCCTTTACAAATAAAAAAATAAAAGATTAATATTATTATTGAAATCTTTTTTTTTTTTCAAACTAACCATCACGATCTTTCATTACAAGAACTTCAACAATATTTCCAAAACGTGAAAAATATTGTCGAAGATTATCTTCATTAATACCTTCACGTAAGCCAGCAACAAATAACTTTTTAACAGTTAAATGTGCTTCAGAACTATTTTGTTCTTCACGTGGCACTAATGAAATGAAAAGAAAAAAAAACATGAGATTAAAATAGTCTAGAAAAAAAAAACAAACAAATATTCTTACTTGCTCTTTTTGGATCAATTTGACGATTGTCAATTGTATGTGGTCGTGAACGCATAAAGTCTTCGACAGATGATGTATCTTTTAATATTATAATTTATTTTTAAAAATTGAAAAAACAAAATTCTATTTTTGTTTTGTTTACCTTCATAAGTAACAAAACCAAAGCCACGCGATTTTCCTTCAGGATTTCTCATAACAAGACAATCAGTTATTTTACCGAAACGTGAACAAAATGCACGTAATGTTTCATCGGTAGTACTAAGAAAAAAGAAAAACAAGTTTTTTTTTTTTTCTTGTAAATACATAATAAAAATATCCTACTGATAACTTAAACCACCAAGAAATATTTTTCGATTTTGATCACCTGACATTGAATTTGAATTATTTGTACCACCATATGTTGGGTAAACCATATTGAATAAAAAACAAAAACGAGATATCTAAAGAAAAATTATTTCTATTGTCTATTTTCAATCAATGATATAACTTGAATAATAATAAATGACCATTATTTGAAACATTGATAGTCATTTTAAACCTCCAGATATTCTCTTTTGTCTTTTTTTTTTTTTGTTTTCCTTTTTAATCGATATAGATGTCGTTTTATATCAGTCATTTTTTCTATTCGATCTTAGATTTGTATAGTTGTCCTTAACGACTCTTCTTCTATAGAAAGTTCTCAGTAAGAAAATTGATTTGGTTGACAAGTTTTTAATTCGTTTAGTTTCCTTTGTGATGGCCGATGATTATTCTGCAGAACAAGCATATTTAAAACAGCATCATTTAACGATATATTTCGAAGATTGTATACGAAATCTTCTTGAAACTCGTCGTCGCCCTTTACCATTAGGATCAGCAAAAATTGATGTTAATGCATTTTTAAGAGATTATTTTTTACAAGTAAAACGTGAATCTCATATAATTGGTCGTGAATTTGCATTTATTAATGGTACTGCTTATAATCGTCGTGCATTTCTCACTCAAATATGGTCAAAATGTGAAACATCAATGCCAACTCCAAGTACATTAAAAGAATTACATACATTAATGCTATCAATATGTCCAGATTTTCCCTATTCACTTCTTGAAACAAGTGTTATATTAATTGAAGATTATGAATCATCTTTATCACTTGATTATGTTATATTTTTACGTGCATTTCAAATACGTTTCATTTATGATGAATTTATAAATGAATCTCAACAATTATTTCGTTCATTTTCACATCGTTTAACATGTCATGTACCAACAGCTGAAATAAGTATTCCACAACAAGATAATAATCATCGTCAAATATTATATGAAGCATTTCAAAAATTAATATTAACAAATACATGTTCTTGTCCACCATTAAATATTTTAGAAGAAGTTTTATTATCAACAGAACAACAACAACAACAATTAAATCATCAAAAATTTTTAATACAATTAGCTAAAAATGAAAAATTAACACGATATATTGGTAAAGAACCAATGGTTTTAAAACAGCCACGTCCAACTCAACAACAACGATCTATTATTGAACCAATAACATCAATACAAAATGAAACAAAATTATTATTAACGTCATTATCAACACCAACCACACGAATATCAAGTCCAATATCATCAACAACTTTATTACCACCATTACCTAAACAACAAGTACTTGTACGAGAAAAACCTATAAGACAAGGTTCACCAGCGTCTGGTATTGTACAAACAAATCTTACTAAACGTGTCGATTCAGCAACAACATCATTTATTGCTACACCTAGTTCAGCTAAATCAACAACACCAGTAACAACTATTATAAAACAAGAAATAAGTGAAACTGATTCTGATATTGAATCCCGATCATCTGACTCAGATACTTAAACGATAAATAAAAGACTTGAGATATTTTCGCATTCTAAAGATATTTGTGTATCCGTCCATATGCTTGCGTTTTTGATTTTCTAGATATTTTTTTTTTTGTTCTTGAATTTTAATGGCATCTGCAACGAGTTTAGAAGAAAGATTTAATGCAGCTGTGAAAACTATTCAAAACTTACCAGCTAGAGGTAAGACTTTTTCAGATATAAACAAAAATTTTACAAATAAAGTCATGTATTTCGAAAACATTGAAATAATCAATAGATGTTTATCGTTACATTAATGCTTTCCAAATTCTATGGAACTTACGAAAGAAGGTTTTCAACTGATCAATGAATTTTAAATTCACGCTCTGTGAATAAGGTAGATTCTAGAAAAATATTAAAAAAACTTAAAAGGATAAATTCTGTCAGGTCTTCTGTCAAGATTTATAGGTATTTTAGCATTTGACCTAGTATATATATCAACAAATCAAATGGTAGTATTTCGACCTGAGAATTTGCCCACAAACAGATCTGTTTGTCAATAGAATATTCTGAAAATTTTAGTTAAAAACAAGGTGCCGCTCTAGATATATTCAAGTCCCAAAAATCACTCATATCTTACGATAGAGGCTAGAATTTTTTTGTTTTTTTGGGACTTGAATATGTCTGGAAGAAAAAATTTTCTATCTCAAAGTCTGATAGCGATTTTAATAGCCAATGGAGTTTTCTATCTAATTTATTCTATACCAAGATTACATAGATGAACTATGATTATGAGGTTTCTAAAAAACCAGACATGATAGTTTTCAAATTCCAAAAGATTATTTTTCTTTAACAAAGTTTTTTAAAAGAGCTCAAAATTCTGAATAGAATGAAGAGTCGCCGCATTTTCTACAACCCTCTCTTAAAAGGTAAAACTATCATAATAACCGTGAAAAAGAAATTTTGTCAAAAAATCGAATAAAAAACATCTTTTTTTCTGTGTTTGTGGTGCTTTTTAGTTTTCAAAGAATGCGACGACCTCTCACTTCGTTCAGAATTTTATGCTCTTTAAAATAACGTTGTGAAAAAAATAATCATCTGGAATCTGAAAACTACCCTGTTCAACTTTTTAGAAATCTTGCTCTAGAATTATGCATTAGATAGAACCCTTCATTGCCTACTATTTGATTTTTAGCTAGGTACTTGACACTCTATGAAACAATGAGAAATACTTTGTTAGCAATCGTTTGCTAACCACCCTATTTACTATCGGTTTGAATGAGTTAATTTTTATAATAGAGCTGAAAATCCTTCAAGGCCTGGTACCAAAGAAAGCGAAGATATATATATCATCAAAATGTAGAAGTAATTTACCAAGGCTTAACTAGTTATGTTCTTATATGTGTCTCTTCTACCCCTTAACATCACAGATCACAAAGTAATTTTGCGAGAGATATAATTTATACTGAAACTAAAGAAACGATCTGTTTGAACTATTTTCATACAAAAATTTCAACTAAAATCTAATATAAACAAATCATTCTAACACATCCCTTTATTCGAAATATCCGTTTGAATGATATGAACTTCTTTTTTTTAATTTATTTTTTTAGGTGTAATTCAACCATCGAACTCAACGAAATTAACTTTCTATGGTCTTTACAAACAAGCAACGTTAGGTCCATGTAAAGATTCTCGACCATCCATGTTCAATTATGTCGCTCGAGCTAAATGGTAAAATTTCTTCAGTTTTTTTTTTTTTCAAATGAGTATTTTATTGATTAATTGTTCAGGGAAGCATGGAATAGATGTCAAGCATTGACTAAAGAACAAGCTATGTCAGCATATATTGATGAAATTGGAAAAGTAAATAAAACAAATATCTATTCTACGTAAATTGCTGTTTCTTAAAATCACTTAGATTGTTAAAGCGATGCCTCAAACAAGTGAAGTATTAGAATTTGCACAATTTATTGGTTTATCAAATGAATTAGTTGATGACCAATCAAAAGAAAAAGAGTCAGTTGTATTAACGGAAAAACAACAGCATCAAACAACTAAAGAAAATACTCTGCAATCTTCTATTATTGATATCACTGAAAGTAAAGAAAATTTTAGTTGATATTCGTAAAAGAAAAGTTCGAATTCAATAGACGTAGATGATTATAAAGAAGATCCACTTGCTAATACTAATAATCCAATTGAAACTCTTGTTTCGGATCAAAATGGTTCAGATCCGTCATCGTCATCTACATCTTCTTCCTCTTCTTCAATGACATCTTCTGGTAAAATAAAAATTTCAATTGATTTTCATTTTTCTTCTTAATGATTATTCTATAGATATTGATGAACTTTATGACGATCCATCTGGTTTTATATCAGTGAATCATGATCAGATAATATCAAATAATAATCATAATATTCAAGTAAATCGTCAAATCTTGTATTACTTTTACTAGCGAAATATTCCTTCGAAAAAAAATATTTGTTTTTTTTTCTTCAACATATATTTCATTTAACTTGGGCTTTCTATTTCATAGCAACAATCAATAAGTCCAACAAGATATTCTTCACATGTATTTGATAATCAAAATGGAACAAATTTTTCCACACAACATTTAACTAGAAATGAAAATAATCATACAAATGTATTAACAACATATTCATCTAATGAAATTTCATATTCAATATTACCTGTTGTTTCTAGTATTAATAATAGACATCATACAACTAATGATTATAATAAAGAAACACAACGTGCAATATTAAATGCATTGACTAAACTTCAACTAGATATTAACAATATATTAGAAAGACTTAATCGATTAGAAACATCAGCTTATCTATTACAACAGGTTTTGAAAAAAAAAAATATCTATTTTATATAGTATTTTATTGATTTTGTTCTAGAGAGAATTATCTACTTCATTAGAATTAAATGTAAGTAATTATTTCATTTGGAGTATATATATTTTTGTTTCTATAGTCTTCATCACGATGGTTACCATTGTCCGGTTTTCGTCGAGAAGTAATTGCATTCATTTTACTTTGGCCATTTGTTGCATTTATTTTTATGCGTTTATTTCTTCGTGCAAAAATAAGTATTCGGTAAAGTAAATTTTATTTGTCCTTTCATCACAACTTTATTTTATTTTAGTTTTCGAAGATAACGTCTTTTAAAATTGTAATCTACTATTTTTTTTTTCTTTGTTATTCTGATGGTGATTTTTTTTCTACTTATTTGTAATCATTTTTCTACGAGCAAAAAAAATGTGCCATAAATTGATATGTCAAAAATAGATTTTATTTTAAATATGATTTTGTTATTCTAGATGGCAACAATAACTAGTGGAGGTGATCATGAACATCTTGGTATACCAAAAGCAGTATTTGTTGATGATGTGGATAGTTTTATGCAACAACCAGAAAATGATTCTGCAGATACTGTTATTCGAAGGTGAATAAAGAAACAGATAGAGGTACAACAGTGACGATGTATCGATCGAAATATATACGTATAGACTAGCACTGAAAGCGGAGAACATATGTCAAAACTATGGTGGTCTTGGATTGAGTTTATAGAAGAAGCTAAATATTGTATTTTTTCATATTAAATACAAGTTTGTAAGTTGTACTGTCACTGAACAAGTATCTGCCGAATGCCGATTAGCTTCAATCAGGTAACGGGTACAGCGATTCGGGTCTGATTACTAAAACTCGTACCCCCCTACCGGACTCTAATTATAATCTATAGGAGACTTGTCGAAATTCTCAAATTTGGTTTTCTTGAAATAGATCTTCGACAGACTGAAAAAATCGAAATAAATCTAAGATGACCATAGTTTTATTATGCGTTCACTGTCTTCATCGTTATCCTTATACGTGTTTGCCTAGACCAATGTACCAGTCTACAATGGCACCGATGATCATTGTCATCGTTGTATCCCTAGAAATAGAGAAAATATTGATTAATAAGTTTCTTTTCTTCTATAGACTTGATGATTTGAATAGCAAATATCGATTTATGGAAATGAATTTATTACAAAAGAAAAAACGTTTACGAGGAAAATTACCTGATATTCAAATTTGTTTAGGTAAATTTTATTTAGTCGTTTTTTTATTTTAACAAATAATAATGGTAAAATTGTAGATATGATTGAACAACTTCGTAAATATCGTGAAACAGATACCAATATGGAAACAAATTTTCTTTTAGCTCATAATCTTTATGGTAAAGCAACAATTCTACCAACAGATAAAGTATAATTGAATGATTTTTGTTGTTAATAAATAGCATATCAATTTCGATTCCATAGGTTTGTTTATGGTTAGGTGCTAATGTTATGCTTGAATATACATTAGATGAAGCTGATGAATTATTACGTGGAAACCAAAGAACAGCGCAAACAACACTTCAAAAAGTTGATGAAGATCTAGATTTTTTAAGGTAAAAGTAAAAAATAGATGTATCTCATTAGATTTTTCTTCTTATCGATAAATAGAGATCAAATTACAACGACTGAAGTAAATATGGCTCGGTCGCATAATTGGGCTGTCAAACAAAAACAACAACAAAATAAAAAATAATTTAAACTTTAGTTATCAAATCCCTCCGTTTTTGTTTTCGTTTGATTTCTTTAGCAAATTTCATTTTCATATTATATTCATTTTTTTTTAACCATTTGCCTTGTTTTGTTATTGTTATCCTGCTTATTGTTCTTTTTACATAAATATATTCTACATTAGGGAAAAAAAAGATAAGCCTTTCGTCAAACTTAAAGTAATGTCATACAGAATGTAGAAATAACTTGAAGTTTTGAAATTGAAAGATTATCAATTGAATGCATTGCGTAAAGTAGTAGCAGTGGGGTATATGTGTTTAAATATTTTTACTAATTCAACATTCAGTATTATTCGACAGGTATTTTTATTTTTTGTATAAAATGATATACCATCGTGTCTTATTTCCCAGATGATCGAACTGAATACCATATGAAAAGATCAATGTTTATTTGATTAACAAATCGCTTTTGTTTATCAATTTCATTTTAAAGAAAAAACAACAACATGATTTTACAAACAAGTCATTATAATGCCAAGAGATGGAAACAGTTTTATCGCTGATATGAATAAAATCAGTAAATGTGGAATGTGACCATTTTCGATTTGAATTTGATTTTTTATAAGCATTGTTTTTCTGAACACGTTCTTTACCCATGAATATATATGTAAAAATATTGGTTCTTTCAGGCCACGCTTAACTTAACGGATTTAGCAAACAATTCTCAGATCTTATGACGGAAAAGTTTAAGAAGTTTAGAATCTACTTCACGTCATAGACTATATTTATGGTTTAATTTTTTGCAAGATCGAACTGCAGAAAATTGGCTCTCCAAAACCAGTTTTCTAGAGATCTAACCCTTGTCACAGAATAACAATTTTTGTTTTGATATAATTACGTAATTATCAAAGTGGAGTTTTACCATTTAGAATTGGCTTTTGAACCTTTCAATCAGTTACAATACGCTTTTTCATTCCGGTATTCGTATTCAGTCATATCGCTAACAAAGAGTAAAATCTATTTTTTGAAACACTTTAGAGTATGTTTAGGAAAAAACTGGCACCGAGATTTTGTAGTCTGAAGAGTGCTCTGCAAAACGCACTATTTAGTTTCCAAAAATAGCCTGTTTGACGTGGCAGGATTTGTAAATGAAAATGTGTGCAACAAAAATGTTTTTGTGTGTCATGTCGTTCACACTAGTTTTTCAATCATAAGTTGATGAAACTAATGTCCACAGCGCTGAGTTTTCAGCGTATCTAGAGTAACTCAACATGTATCTGCCATGAAAAATCAACTAAAAATAATGTCTATGTCCAAAAATATAATCATTTTTATAGGATAGTAATTTTAAAAAGTGATTTTTATTAAATAATTTTCATTAGATGAGTTTTTAGAGTACTTTCAAGTTTTCATCGAACTCGTAAGTTCACGAAAAAATTCAATTGAATTGTTTTATACTGACAAGCGAATGTCGTAAAATATTAACTGTTCTTCGATAAAGCCCATGATGTTTGGTTTCATCCTATTAACTGATTACCCTGGACTGTGTTGCGTTTTCTTTGTTGAAATTGAATCAGTACGACGCCTATTAAACAATAAAATAAGTCAAAAAAACTCATGTTGCACGTTTTAACGCAAAACCGTTGGCATATCGTCGCATCCATAAGTACTGACTACTATTCAAATATCAAACTGCTACTAAAATAACATAACGCAAATTATACCGAACATTTAACGGACAGTTTTCGTCTGGTTTAAATCATAAGAGTAGTTCTCTTTCCTAAGTCAATACTATGGTCAATCACTTCAAAAACAGTCTATAGTATTTCTTATATAAGAATTTTTGTGAAATGACATACTCGATAGATGTCACACGTATACCACTATGATTCTACTATTACATAAATTATTCAATTCATTTCGTTTGTTTTCATTAATTATATTTATAGAAATATTTCTTTTTTCAACTAATTCTTTAATAAATATATATTATCATTCAAATCAACCTATCAAAATACGATCCTCTTTTTTCAAAGAGTGTTCTTTGTCTATTCTCTTTTACAAAAGACATCAGTCAATATTTTAAATTAATAATCAATATTAGCATTAACAAATTGTTGTCTTTTTTCTTTAAACAAAAAAGAAAGTACAATTAACAAATGTTTTCAGTCTTTCGACGTCGTACTGCTTCAGCATCACGATCTGATTCAAATGTTAAAGAAAATTCACTTAGTGAAACTAATGGACGTAAAATAAATACTGAAAATAATGGTTTTATTACACCAAATTTAACAACAAATGGTAATGGAATAAAACATCGTACATTATCAGGTGTTTCCTTAACATCATCATCATCATCATCATTAACAACTTCACCATTACTTAATATAACACGTCAACAAGAAAAACAAGAATTGCAAACACTTAATGATCGTTTAGCTGTTATTATTGATACTGTACGACGTCTTGAACAGGATAATGAAAAATTACGAGTAAATTTTACTGGAATAAAATGTAAATATTATTAATTTTATTCTTCTTTAGACTGTTGTTAAAACAAATGCTCAATCATTTGAAACTGAAACATCAAAAGTTAAAGCATTATATGAAAATGAATTAGGTATATTTAATTTAAAAATATAGACTAGTTAAATTAAATTTCTTATTTTAGATGATGCTAAAAAATTAATTGAAGAATTAGCACATGAAAAATCTCGTCTTGAAATTGAACTTGAAAAACATCGTTCTGAAAATACTGATTTACAAACAAAGTAACAAAATAAATCAACTCAATCTTTATGTTTTCTTTATTGATTTATTTTAGACTTTCTCGTATTGATCGTGATTCACATGGATATGAATCTCGTTTAAAACAATATGAAACTGTAATAGCTGAATTAAAAACACGTTGTGATTCCATTACATCAGATAGAACACGTAAAATTGAAGAGAACGAAGTATGTAAAAGGTTTTATTTTGTTAAATACATTTTAAAGTTTTTTTTTAAAGTTTTTTCAAAATTTAAATAATGATCTTGAAAAACAAATATCAGCATTAAAACGTCAACTTGAATCTGAAACTTTATTACGTATTGATCTTGAAAATAAAAATAAAACATTACGTGAAGAATTAGAATTTAATGAGCAAGTACATGAAACAGTATGTTGAAAATTTTCTTTTTCGTGACAACAAAAAAAACAAAAATACGAAATAAAATAAAATTTTAGCATATACAACAAATTAAAGAACAACAATGTTATGAAATTATTCATGATGATGGCTTACGACAACAATATGATGATAAACTTTTACAAGAATTACAACAATTACGAACGCAAAATGAACAAGAAATCATTTTATTACGAGAAGAAATTGCTGCACAATATGAGAAAAAGGTTAGAAATATTATCCGACCGAGATAGTTCATCTGAATAAAAAAAAAAAAAAGTATAATCATATCGTAAATTACTAATTGACTATTGCAATAATACAAACGCAGTTTAAATCGACGCAAAATATCAAACTTTAAGAAATAACACGACCGAAAATATCATTTTATAATGAAGAAAAGATTTAGATGTGAATAGCGAGTTCGGTTCCTTTTGAAATTTGACCAAACTATCGAATTCTTTTTCAGAGTCCTCAGATTTCGGAGAACTCCTATTTTCGAATATTGATTTAAAAAGTTGAACATGTAGAGAACTTGAGTATGGGAAGAGAATCTATATCTAGAAAGTCTCATATGTCAAAGACATATCGTTCAAAACTTGTAAATTACTATGTAAGGCAACTAGTCTAGTTGAGTTCAATGCATAAAGGTTTGAATCAAAATTCCATTGCTTAGTCGAATCTCAAATCCTTTTAGGATTTTTATCCGAACAGTGTAATATCTATTGACACAAAAAAAATCATTGAAATTGAAAATGTACATCTGAGGAGATTTGCTCAATAGCTGCTCATTTATATAGTGTAATCTACTAGTCTCCGAGAATATTTCAATCATAGTCAATCCATATGACATATTTTGCCAGAGTTGTAACCAGTCGCGCTAGTTTGTTGGATCGTTTTCAATCGATTAATAGGAACGACTTGAAAAAGAATACGGTACCTTTCACAAGTCTTCAAGATGCTTCTTTGTATAGGACGAAAAAACAGCCATTTAGCTGATCGATAAACTCCAAAATCTTAAATTTTTCTACTTAGATTTTGCAAACATACCTAACGTTTCTTTTCAAACAACGCTCCGCATATTAATCTAATCTCTAATGAAACATCAATGAAATATACGTACTTTGATTAAAGAAATAAAACTATTTGATAAAAGCACTCAAACTTGCTCTTGACATATTTTATCAGTGAAAAGAAAGGCATATCAATACATATGATGTAGTTCACTTCGGTTTTCGACTGATAGTTTTTCTTATTAATATTGATGTCCAAAAGTATCTTTATTATATGAATTGAAAAAAATCAAACTCATTTTTGATAAGAGATCAACATGTTGAATTTATAACTCTATTGTTTACAATGTGCTCTTTTTAACACATTGTCGTATAAAACGATAAACAAAACATATAACTTTGACTATATCTGACACTAAAAAAAGTCATAAATTTTATCTAATTTAAATATTTAGATTGAAGATTTAATTATAACTAATCGCCGCTATGTTGAACAAATAAATAATTATCGTACTGATTTAACATCATATCGTGAACGTATGGAAGAAACAATCAAAACTCGTGATTTATGTAATGAAAAAATGTTACAATTAGAACAACGTTGTCGTGATTTAGAAGATCGTGCATATCGTGCACAACAACAACAACATGAGTCATTAATGGAACGTGATGATGAAATACAAAATCTTAAATCTATTATTGAACAAATGCAAAATGATTATCAAAATTTACTTGATACCAAAATTGGACTTGATCGAGAAATATCAACATATAGAAAATTACTTGATTCAGAAGAAGAACGGTAAGAAATATATTCGAAAGAGAAAAAAAAAAACAATTAATTAATTCTTAATTATTATTAGATTGAATATTGGTGGTCGATTAGGACCTATGCTAAATATAAATAGTACCGGAGCATCAACAATAAATGATGAATCCGTAGCAATAGTAACACCAAGTTCAACACAACGACAGCGTCATAAACGAGCACACGTTGAAGTTGATGATGATGATATAATTCTTACAAATGGTAATGGACATTAAAATTCAAAAAATTTTCTTGAACATTTTTGTTTTTGTTGTATTATAACCCGGTTGTTTACTTTCTTTAAAAAACCGATAGCTCAGATATATGAATAGGAAATAAGAAGATAGTTTCACTGTTTTTTTTTGCTTTTCTCTCTTATGTTTTTTTTTTGTTATTCTATTAAGGAATATGTCTTTGTTTGAATTCGATTGTTATGAATCAGATATGTTTTTTTTTGCTCTCTTCGAATAGTAGATATATAAGTTCAGATAAATTGAAAAACAATAAAATAAAGCAGATTCTTCTTTTTGGAAGGTTTCATTAGAATAAAAAAAATAAAACACACACATAAACGAATTTTCGGAGATGTTTAGATCTATAAAAAGAAAACGTCTATGACGGCTTTACTATATGGTTTTGCAATGATCGATAATTTACTTCTTTTATTTATTAATATTTATAATGTAAGTGTTACTTATTTATGACGCTGATTATATACATGATTCAATATATTATATACAGATTATTACATTATCTGATCTTGAAATCGATTTAATGAATGTTCGGCAAGCTTGCCATAAGCTGAATCAAGTACGTATCAATTCACTCTTTTTTTCTCTTTCACAAAGAATCAAATGTGACTTGAATGAGAAAAGTTCGATTGGTTTTAAAAAAATATGTTTTAGACATTTCTACCAGAAGTTGCATTACACGTTATGTTAACGGTTTTCTTTATATTCAATAATAATTGGATTATTTTCATATTAAATGCTGTATTAGATCTTTGGTTTGCTTACAAGTAACCAATTTTTTTCTATTCTTATATTTTCTTGATACTTTATTTTTAATTTGAAGATATTTTAAGCGGCAACCAGGTCAATTAGGTATCTATGATCCATTAGAAATAAATAATCGAAGAAGTATCAAATCACATATGATGGTAAATAGTAGCTTAATTGAATAACAATTGTTATTTTCTATGATTTTATAGGATTTTCTTATTCGATTAGTATTTTATTTGTTATGCTTTTTTCTTTATCTCTTTTTGTAAGTATTTTCATACTCTATATAAGAAAACTTTTTGAATATTTTTCTTTATAAATTTTAGGTTAATACAAGCTTTGATTTAAATTTATTCAATGGTATAATACAAGGCAAAAACCTTTGTAGATAAATATTTCGAACAATAGAAAAAACTAAAAACTTTTTGTCAATATTAACCACTTATTATTAAATAAGTTACTTTTGCAGACACATACAAAATATATTTGGTCTGATGAGATTAAAAAATATTATCAATACAATTATGAAATATCAGATCGTAGAAAAAAAAAGGATCTCTTTCTATGAGAATTGATTCACACATTTTGAAAAATATTAGAAAATAATAAAAGAAGAATTCAATGTTTTTTTGAATAACTTCAACAGAAGGTCTATCGGTCATCTTTCGTTTGGATTGGTATTGAAGGCAAAATTTGCCGCTCGATAGATTCTAAAACTTTCTCCAAGTAACTAATTATATGATTCGATAATGTTTAGTAATGTGCAGTGTCAGTTTACTTTACACTGACTAGAGCCCATCAAGCCCGAACTTTTCGGACCTGGACGCGAGCCGACAGAATCTACCACTGACTCAATTGAGTTAATACATAATGAAAAACTAGCATCAGTGTTCAACGAAGCATTGGAACACACTGCTACAAAATTTGGGATATTTTGATATAGTTGATGTCTCAATGTTACAGCAAATCCGGATGTTAGTGAAATCAGTGGGCCCTGTGTCGATGACTCCCTGCTCAATGCTTACATCAGCCTGGTATTAATAGTAGTCATAATTGATATTCTATATATGAAAATTGATTAAAAATGAGTTCTATTGGAAATTAAACACTAGCTACTCGATATAAAATAAAATCATTTTTAATCTGAAGTTTTCTTGTACATTTCAATCAGATATCCAATGATTGATATTTGACGAAGTTTTTATTTTTAGATTTGTTTTAATTTCAATGTTTATTCTCTATGTTCGGTATATTATCAATCGGCATATTCATCTCTCGAAATGTTCTTATTCAAGTTCAATAGTTAAACCACTCAATGTTGCATTTTTTGGTTCAGATCTTTTTTCTATGCATATTCTTGAACATCTCTATCAATTATTTATCAATGATAAATCACGAATAAAACATTTAGAAGTGCTAACTACTGTATCATCATTAAATACTGTTATTCATGGTGCTGAAAAACTTAAATTAACAACTCATACTTGGCCAAATATTGATTCATTAATATCAAAATCATCTGTCAAATTCGATATAGGTATTCTTGCATCATTCGGTCAACTATTGCCTAAAAAATTGATCGAATCTTTTCCTTTGTAAGCCAGAGTTTTTCTTTCAGAAAACTTCATGAATATATTTTCTTCATTCATCAGAGGAATAATTAATGTTCATCCAAGTTTATTACCTCGATGGCGTGGTAGTTCTCCATTGATCTATACTATTGCTAATGGAGATAAAATCGGTGGTGTTTCGATTATGGATATCCGACCCAAACAGTGAGTAAGTGTATAAAATATTATTTTTCATATATATCTGTTTTCTTTTGTTTTGTTTTTTTTCACATAGTTTTGATATTGGACCTATATTAATGCAACAATCATTTCCATTATCATCTAATATAACAATGTTTGAATTACTTAAAATAACGGCAAATGTTGGTTGTTCATTGGTAAATTTAAATCAATAATTTTTATAAAGTGATGGTTTGCTATTTTAGTTGAATACTATTCTTGAAGATCCAATTAAAGCACGACAGAATGCTCAAGAACAATCATTATCAGGAATTACTTATGGTAATCATAAAAAGTCATAATTAACATTATCTTTCCCCTGCCTCAAAAATCGATCTGGAGAGGCTATGCTAAAATTTTCAGTTCAATATTATGATCCTTTTTGGAGATAGTCAATGAAGAATGGTAACAAATAGCTCATTTATCAACTCGAAATTTTGTGCGAACCTTTATTCTATAAACTTATTATTATTTTTTTTCGTTTAAAAGAGCATGTCAGGATGCAAGTTATGACAAAACCGTTTTTTAAAATTCTTACTTTTTTAAGTTGAGAAAAATTCAATGTTTTGAAAAACTCTCTAAAAACGATACTCTAATTATAAAACTACTCTTTTTGATGAGGCTTAATTTAAAAGAAAAGGGACTATCATGCTCTGCATCTTGAGATACTCTTTCGAAAACATATTCTTCAAGCAGAAAGTAACAGGGATTGACGAAAAATGATAGTTCAAAATAAAAATCATGTCGTTTATGAAAGATAAGATCTCGGACTATCTTCGCCGGTGATGGAGCCTGGTCTGACTCTGCAATTCATCCTCACATTCATTTATCTCAATTTCAATTTTTCTGTTGAAAATTGTTTTTTGTTTTTTTTTAGCTCATAAATTAAATAAATACGCATTTTTTATCGATTGGTATAATCATACAATTGAAGATATTGATCGATTGTATCGAGCTCTCAATGATATTGTATGCTATATAAATTATTTGAAAATTTATCTTCTTTTTATGTTTTTCTAATTTATCATGTTTTAGGCTAATCTTCGAACTAGTTTTCGTCAAAAGCCTGTTCGTTTAAAATTATTAACTTTAATTAACGATCAAAATATTATTGATAATCTAAATGTGATATCACCACAACCAGGAACTGCAATTTATAATAAATCACTTGAATGCATATGCATTCGATGTAAGGTAATAAAAAGAAATTGAATTTTTTTTTTAAATTTTAATTATTATCACAAAATTATATTAGAATGGTTGGATTGGATTTCAAAAAATAGCTTATCGAAAATCAATGTATGCACGTGATTTTCAAAATGGATACATTAGTAAAATAGATCGATTTGTATTCGATTCAATACATAATCCATTATTTGATCATATTTATGATCGACGTCTACCTTCATAATCTTTTTCTTCTTTTTTTTGTCTATTCATCTAGTATTGTTTTTGATAAATAAAGACAAAATGATAATACCAAAAATTTTCTTGTTTCTCATGATTATTGTAGCAAGTATGCAGACAAATCTTACCAATTAAATGAATGAAAATCCTTTATATATCTACTTTCAATCGAATAATCTGTTGGTAAAGAGCACAGAGAAATCAATTATAAATTCTATCGTACACTGTTCATTGTTTTATGATTATTTAATTAAGACAATGCAGAATTTTATTTTTCAATCATTAGTGTTAACAAAAAGTTACACGAATATAGCAATTGAATTTATATATATAACAATAATAAAACTCTGTCAAGAGGTGAAATTCATATCTAACATAATTTTAATAAATATATTAACTGTTTAAAATGTATTCATATGACTATGCCCTATACAATGTAATTTAGTCAAATGATTGAGTTAATTAAGTTTTCTTTTTTGTTATCGCAAATACAAGAAAGCATATGTAGAATATCTCAAAAATCAACATTGATTAACTTTCAGACCATCGATTGCATATGATAATATCGATCACAATTTGTACCAAGCATTGAATGTCTCGAGTTTTTACGATCTACGAATTTCAATCAAGTTCGGTGAAATTGTCAATAGATATCATATTTATTTCACATCAAAAACATATCATCCTTGTTACGCGTGCATCATATATTTGACAAGTAGTCAATTCACTTTTTTGTATCGTGCAAATATTGACCAAAAAATAATTATATATTCATGAGAACAACGTATACGTGGATTAATGGTTAACCGTTCTCTTTCCCTCTGTTTCGCCTTTCATTGTCGAAGAAGAGAAGAATATTCGTATCATTTTGTGTAGAACAGTGAGTTTTTTTATTCATTCTTTCGTTTGGCAGTGACTCACATGAATATTCATATCTAAAAAATAAATTGTTAAATTTGCATAAATTATACAAGATATGATGATATTACTAGAATTGAAGAATGCTTATGATTTATAAAATAAAAACTTATTTGTTCAATCGTATGTTTTTCAAGAATTTCGTTTTAACATCATCATGCCTGAGAGAATTTTTTCGATTGGTACTTTATGTTTAGTCTAGGGATGTCCCAAGTGAGAATTGTAGAAGTACAGACAAGCAGAATTTACCCATCTGAGCAGCCGACCGTTTGGGAAAACTTTTGAACATTTCATAACATCTGAGAAAATATTTTCTCTCATAAAAAGAATGTTTCAATTTTCCAAACGGATCTCGGTTTATTTATATATACATCGACAAGACCTTCTCCTTTTCTCATTTCTTTTCTTTCTATTAAACTCCTGAAAGACTCAGCCGTGCCTTTATCGTAATGTCAGTATCCTCTACCTTTGTTTGCGTTCATCATGCATCTTGCCACTTCTGTCATCCGGTGTTTTTTGTGCCTATTCATAATACAATACACTATTTATGTTCTCCTCTTTTTTTTTCTATACTTTTCCCTAATGGAATGTCACTACTTGCCGTTTTCTCTCTGTTGCTACATACAATTGCTATTGTAGGTGCGTATGCGTACACTATCACTAGGATGACTAATATATGGTCATTAGTGATCGATTCAAACCACTTTTCGTTAATTTGAGTTCTGTTAAGTTCGAATTCATTTTTTTTTGAGAAATTAATTCAGGTTCAACTTCATTTTTGAAAAGTGGTTCGAGTTGGGTTCGATTAGAGTTGTCCTACTTCATCCAAATTAGAAGTACACGATAGATGGAAACCTATTTCTCCTGATTCAGCTATTTGAACTTGTTTACGGGAAGCACAGGTAACAAGATTACCTGAACCAAACGATATTGAATAGTAGTTTTTTTTCAAATGTCTATTTGCAATATATTAAATAGTGGTAGTTGTCATTTTTTTCAAAGTCTTAAACAAAAAAACTCGTCTTTCAATTGAATATTATAGTGGAGGAAGTTTTTCGTGAAAACTTTGCCATCATTCAGGAAAATGACTATCTCAATTTTGACAATTATTCATTTGTTTTCGGCGAAGTTTCAGCGTTTTATTTTTCTTTGCTTTTTCGTCCTGAAAAAATAGTTCACCCCCCGCAAACCCGGTTAACTTTAACAAAAATCTTCCAATCAGCCTTCGAAGTCATTGGTCTTCTCTCAATCCTGGCGAAATCGGAACACTCCTTAGATTAACTCCTTATTTTTACTGACAGAATAGTACTCAATATATGTGCATAAAATTTCTAGAAATTACTTTTTAAAAACAATATATTCGTTATTAATCGTGACATATGCTTCATTTTTTGTTTTAAGAACCTATGATATTGAAAACAAAAAAGAAAATTATTTCGAATAAGAAATTTCTAAAGTATTGAATTCTCCTAAAATTCTATTAAGTGCATAGATAAAGTTAATACAGTGGTGAATATAGATGGAGACAATCGTGCCTCTCGTCTGAAATATTTTTTTATTTTTTTTCTCAGCAGATAACACCTAAAAATGAGTCAATACGACCTCTAAAGAACTTTAAAACACACTTAGTAGCAATGATCGTCTCCGGTTCTCAAAATTCTAGATCCGCCATTGAATCGATATTTCTAGATTTCATACGAGTTCATTTTCCTTTCCAATTTTCAACAACTGCATAAATTCGACTATTTATGGTATGTAAACATTTGTTTATCGACTCTAACTGATAAGTCTTTCACACCTGTTTTATTATTGTCGCAATCAAAAATTAATCATTTGTAAATCGTTTATTTCCATCCTCAATGTAATGAATACGAGACAGAATGACATTGACAACTTTTTGACATTTTCGTTGGCAATACTTGATTTAATTTTTACACATATCCAAATCGATTGTATTGAATCATGCTAATCTATTTGCTTTACATACGTCATTCTACCTAACACTTCACTTAATCCATGTCACAATTGACAGTTGTTTTTTGGTTAAGTCTAGTGGCGCCTTTCTGTTTTGATAGTACTTTTTTTTTATATTTTACTATATCTAAAATTCTCCTGAGAAGTATTTCCATCTAATACTAAAAGTTTGTCATTACTAGTAACAATATATTAAATAAATCCAATCATATTATTTATTTTTCCCAATAAATGTTACAATATTGATTCATTTTTTTTCTAAATAGATGTCACTATAGTAATCATTTTTCGCTATTCCTCTACGACGGTGTCCACTTACAATAAAGAGAAAGAAAGAAAGAAAAGAATTTTTATATTCAATATCTTTTTAACATTATCAATGCCACTTACGTTTCCATCATCAGTTGCCAAAAAAGTTCGGTATAGTTTAATTAATACAAAAAAAAAAACTGTTTTTTTTCATAACCATGCTATCATTTTCTATAGATTGGCTCTATTACATAAATGTAATAGTAGTCGAAAACGACGTGACGATATAACAGTAGTTGATTATAGTCATGGAAATTTATCATCTGTACCAGAAGATATACTTCAATATGAAAATACATTAGAAGAACTTCATTTAGAAGCAAATTGTCTTCAAGAATTGCCAAAAGTAATAAAAACAATCAATTAATATGAAAGATTTTTAAATTTGCTGTTTGTTTTTTGTCTAGTGGTTATTTCAATGTCATGCTTTACGTTATTTACTTTTATCTGATAATGAACTTGATTGTTTACCACCATCTATTTCAAGTCTTACGAGTTTAGAACGTTTAGATTTAAGCCGAAATGGTATGTACTTCCTTTTTTTTTAAATTTTCTTATGAAAATTATTTTTCTGATCTAGATTTAATGTCACTACCAGATAATATTCGTTATTGTAAATTATTAACATCAGTTGACTGTAGTTCAAACCGATTAGAAAGGTTAATTTCCTTTATTACTTTTCAATTTTAATATAATTGATTTATTTCTTTAGATTATGTGAAGGATTAACAATGTTAATTAATTTAAAAGAATTATATCTTAATGATACATTATTAGAATTTTTACCAGGCAATTTCGGACGGTAGGAAAATATAATAGTAAAAAATAAACTTACTAAAAATCGTAAGAATAGAATGATTTGAATATCAAAATAATGTATAATCTAGATAGTCAATATTCGTAAAGAATTGTTATAATATTTTATTGAATACTTTGTCGAAGTTTATTGATTGCAAATGTGAAAATAGCATATTTCATGATAACATGAGTTATTTTTGACTCGTAACTGATGCGATCTTGTTGCTAAACATTTTATTAGAAGTAATAACCAGTCGAAAAGCATTTCATGACTGCTGCATAAATAATCTCATATCGATAAAAGATAAAAATCTGCGTTCTACATTTTAAAAAGGAAATAAAGATTGACGATATGAATACGTTCCTGAAAACGAATGAACTTTTTTCTATCCGAAAATAACTGCCTTTGTGAATGTCTTGTCATATATCATTCCTTGTCATGAGTCATTTTGTTGAAAAATAATTCATAACAAGTAAGTTCCAACTAAATACAGTTAAAATAAAAAAACAATGAATGCAATTTGCATGTAATTTATGATCTCTTCCACATCTTCGCATTGAAATTACTCCACATCTATTCTACCAGATGAGTACTAGGAGATAACAGGTTAAACAGTAGATAAAGAAAATATATCTTTATATAAAATAAAAGTCCTTATGCTTTTCACATGTCTTACAAACGATCCTTTCAAACTTGTTGACTCCGGGCTGATGGTAGATCACCATGAAGTATTAAAAGCGTCGAAATGATACGAACATCTAGCTTTTTCCCATAGAGTTATTATCGTTTTACTGAAAATTTCAACTCAAAACAACATTCCCTTCGCGAGAAGTTCAAATGTTAAAATTCACTCATATACCAGGAAATATTTGAAAATCTCATTTCTTTTGCGAAATCCAATATCTTATGAAGAGAACATTCTAGTCGCAGATAGATCTATCTATGGACAAAATTTCGATAACTGTAGGAGAGACCTAGGTATCTTTATCTTTTTGCGACTTGTAAAATCTCATTGGTTTCTACCTTATGCAAAG